TGATACCTTTGACATCCTCCCACAACTCATCTGGTCTTCGCTCATTAGTGTTCAAGGCCTCAGACCTGTTCCTGAGATAATTCTGAAATTCAGGTGGTATGAAATCAAAGTCATATTTTGGCTCCTGTGGATTTGGTTTAATTTTCCTCAGCTTCAGCTTGAACTTGCATAAGGAAGGTAAACACGGAGACCTAGAATGCTTGTGAAATACCCAGTTTGTCAACATTTTCCAACTGTTAATACCATATGGTCTTTGACAGTTTTGACATTTAGATTATTGTGTTTGTTGTTGTTGTTGATTGTGATCCAATTGATCAACACTCATAGTAACTGTATGAACAAGAGGCCTTTGTATAACTATTGACATTTATCAAAGTTTATACAGTTTCCAGAGGTAACAACTTTAGGAAGTGGCACCACTCCTGTTTCAAAATTCGTCTTAAAACTGGGAGCTCCACCAAATACTGTCCACCATTTCTCATCAACATCACAGTTTAAGGGTATTAATTCTACTTTGGTCTTTCTCTTACTCATTGTCTAAATTTCACGTGCATGCAGGATGATTGAAAATATCTTGACTGGGGATCAGGATACATCTTAGTACTCAAAGTGACATCCTCACTCTTTAACACATTAAAGAGATCTTGGACATCAGATTTTTCTAATGGCAGACATTCTTTGATTTCTTGCTGACTGCTTCTTTGATGACATATTGTTTTTATCATGAGGATTTTTGTTTTCTTTATGTTGAGATGTAATTTATACTGAATGTTATGTAATCTTTTCCTCTTCATCTATAAGTGCTTCAAGTTTTTATTACAGCAAGTAAGGTTGATAATTTTTACATACTTTTGGATCACCTCTCTTTGGAATGGGCACAGAAGATTACCTAGATAACCACATTTTTGTCATAGATAAGTGAGTACACCCACTACTGCATTCATTTGTTGAAACATTTCGGTTGCCATTCATCAGTTCCTTGAGACCTGTTTTTCACCAATACCTTCAGTTTAGTTTGGACTTCTTCCATCTGTACCCATGGGGTTTTATTGTGTATTGTTGGTTTTTTTTTTAAATAAAATTTTTATTATATACTGGCTTACTTACAAAGTTTGCATACATTGTTTTTCACATTGAATTTGTCTCCTTTCCTTTCACCATCCTTCTCTCCACCCATCAAATTGTGTGACCCTATGATTAACCCCCACTTCCCAGCCCATCCTCATCCCTCTGCTTTCCCTTTCCTCCCTTGAATCCTCATATGTGTTATATCTTATACAGTATTTGTCCTTATGGCACTGAGTTAGTTCACTTAGTATAATCCTCTCCAGTACCTCCCAAGTTAGGTAGTAATTTACAAAATAATTCCAGCTTCATGCTGCATGTAGTATTCCATCATGTGAATGTACCATAATTTCTAAATACATTTCATTGTGGTTGGACATTTGGGGTGT